TCCAAACCTGTTGCGAAATTTTTTAAAATAATTTTAAATGGTTTCAATTCAAGTTTGGTAAAATGTTTACTCTGATCAACTCATTTTAAATACCTGATCACATTTGATGAGGCTACAATGCTGGGAGGCCACTGGTAAATATAAATACTTTTATAAATGCTTTATATGCCATGTCATTTTAATGTTAATGACATTTTATATTGAAGTTTTGTAAATAATTGTAACCAGCCTGTACCAGGATTGTTGTAGCATTCATCACTGTCCGAGCTCACGGTAACATGTTGTATACTGAGGTGTTACCAAAGGATTAAAAAACCACCATAGCTTCACAATTTGCACACAACCAGTCTTTTTAAAGCTGCCACTAGGAAGTTTAAAAAAATTCCCACCCAACAAGCCAAGAAATGCAGTTAGTCTTCCATCACAGTTCACCAGACATTCTTGTGTGCTGACATCCGTCAATAAATCCTGTGTGCTGGAGTGGACTGGAGTGTGTGCCTCAGTGTAACTGGTGTACCAAAAATAAGCTAGGTTAGCAAGGTGCAGCTGGATAAATGGTGTTTTATATGTTATTTTGCCTAAGAACGTACAGCATTATCACAACACTGGATAAATGTCTGATCTGCCATATAATTAACTATAAAATATCTTATCTCTCCATTAGCCTCGAGCTTTGTTACATGAAAATGGCATAATATTTGATTATTTCTAGACTCATACTAACTTGCTAACTAATCTTTTTTTTATTTTAAAATAAACTGTTTTTTGTCACAGGCAGACAACATTTTGAGCACTGTTACAGATATATAAAATATACAAATATATTATAAATAATAATGTTATATATATATATATACTGTATATTCCTTGTGGCAACCCCTGAAAAAAATGGACAAAGTCGAAAGAAAAAGAAGGGTGTGAGTGAGTGTTGAATGGTTGTTGTGATCATTTCAAGAGGAATTACAAGTATTTCAGGGTCTTTTCTTTGTCTAATTTCTTACATTTGTCCTGGATAGTGGGATTATAGGAATAATATGGCTGGACCTTGGAGTCTTAAGATTGTCCTGCGAGAATTCTGTCTACGTCTTGTGTTTCATAAGTGTGGGATGAGTCCTGTTTATGAGATGCTGACAGCTCCTTCCTGTCTCCTGGGCCTTGAGACCAAACTGCTCTTCAGTTCCTGGCCACCCAGCTCCACCCCAGAGCTCCGGCTAAATGAGAAGCCATGGTCGGGACAGCTGACGAACGGTGGGGGTGAAAGGGTGGGGGTGGGGACGACACGGTGATGGAAGTGGTAAAGTGCGACCACAGAAACAGCATTGGATGTGTGCAGCTCCTCAACCCAGGCCTGCTTTTTTTGGACAAAGTGGGGCAATATAAACTCTCACTTCCTGTTGGCCTTGTCTCAGAGGGGGAGAGACGATACCTCTGTGAAAAAGGGGGAGAAAAAAAAAGGGCTGCTGAGATCTATGAAGTGACGGTTCACACATGCACACACACAAACACACACACACAAAAATAGAAATACTGCCGTAGGGGTAGGCAGATAGTGAGAGTGGGAGAGAGCGAGTGAGCGAGAGAGCGAGTGAGGAATACACAAACACAGTGGGGTTCAGGAATGTTAAACACATGCTTTATAGCATAAATAGCAGCCACTTTTGGTAAATTACAGTGAGAGCTCTGGCACTGTAAAGCACACAGCAGGAAGACAGTCTCAGATTTCAGATGCAGGCCTAACACTCTCCTCCAAGAACAGGAAGGAGAGCTTGTTGACTTGTTGTTTCTTTTCTGGAAGGCAGAAACAAGGTACATCAGCCTGTGTGTGTGTGTGTATGTGTGTGTGTGTGTGAACAGGATACATGTGTAATGTCATTGTTTCACAGGGGCCTGTATGTATGGCGTCCACACCCCACGTGTACAAGAATCCTTCACCATGTTTTTACATACTCATAAAACGGTGATTAAAAATCAAAACATTGTTCATGGATGAATATGAAGAAAAAACCACAGACCAGTTTAAAAGTATATATTAGTTGTAAATGACCTGTCCACTCAGGGAAGAGGACACCTTGTCCAATGAAAAACTTCATGATTTTAGTGCCCAACTTAGTGGTTTTGTGTTTGCCTATTGTAATGACCACTTCCTGTCGGAGGGTACGTTACTTCTGCCCCAGCGTTGTGGTTGTCTGACTTGACGGAGATGTGAAACGGTCCGATGTTCCTAAAATGCTTTTTGTTTTGTACATGAAGCCTCCTCCTGTACATCCCGTCCATCTGCCTATAATAAAACTGTAGTCGAACTGGCACAACTTTCGTGTTCATTTATTTTTTTCAGCTTTCGACCACGCCCGGAGAGCCCCCTGATCTCTACACTATCTTCCCCCATACCTACCTGCTTTGGCACGTAGATTTGTTTTTCCAAAATTAGGCTTAGACGTGTAGTAATCCCACCACTGCACATGTTTTCATTCCTTAACCTATTCATTCATAAAGGTCTCTCAGTCTATCTATTGTCTTATAACCAGCTGAGGAGGTGGTGCAGTTGTGTTCCATCTTCCTTCCTCTCTGTCTTCACCTCACAGGTCGCTCTAACTTCAGAGCTGACTCAGATCCTGACACAGCTGTCAGTGTTACGCTCGTCATTTGTTATTAATAAACTCTAACTCAGCAGGACCGTTTTCTTTATCTAACACCACATATAATGTAGTTCCTACAGTTGGACTCCAGGCATTCTAACAAGTTTTCTGACACCAGTCCTTTTTACCTGGGCTACATAGAAGCTAACAGTTCACATTAAGCTAACGTCATCAGGTTGAAGGTGTTTGACAGAAAACTGCAGCCAAATTCAAAATGGCTGAATAACTGAATATGAGATCAATAATTTCCGCCTGCCATTATATGTTACCAATGTTTGGCCAAAAGAAGAAGTAGATAAAGCAGAAGAAGAATGGGAGGAGCAGAGATTCAATAGTCACCTTCACCAGTGGACACACTGACTGACATCATGAAAACAGTCCTTAGCTAACCTCCAACAGCTGACATTTTATAGCCCCTTAATCCACCACAAGAGCATCCTGGGTAAAAGTCAAGAAAATTATATATTAAAGCAAAGAGAAACCGCAGCAGGGACTCTCTTATTGGAAGTACATCAGATAGTGTGTTTTCATTAGCGTTTGCTGAGAGACAGAAAGAGTTCTTCAGAACTTTTTGTCATAATTGTTGGAAACTACTTACAGATTGTTATTATTATTAATACAAATGGTCAGTTAGAAAACACAAGAAAAAAAGCTGGAATGTGAGTTAGTCCAGGAGTAGCTAAAAGCAAGCAGAAGAAGAACCAAAACAGCTAAACCTAGCTTAGGTATTAGCAAAAATTGCAAAGTAAGACAATGATGAATTAGCCTCCCAGAGTTATAACAAGTATCAGTGAGGTGATTGAAAACATTACTGGTCGACACTAGTCAAATAACGGTGCTTTTTCTGCACCAAAAATGTAAATAGCCTGTGTGTACATTCGCAGAGTTAGCTCAGGGTTAGCTCATTACAAAGAGATGAAACTATTACCTACTGAAAGTTAGGCAAAGTAGCAATTATAAGAAATATCAACAATTATTTATTTCAGGCTTTTTGTGGTGGCCACAGTAGTGGCTTTATGACAATTTGTCAAATATTTTTTTAAAAAGCTCCAGAAATGACAGAAAAGAAGTTAGCTTGAATATGGTTTAGCGTTAGAAGGGGTTGAAAAAGTTGTCCAGGAGTGAACTCCAGGCACAGTGAACACCACTGGCCATTCTGGGCAGTTGAGTAAGTTCTTTATGCTCGAGCAGTGGATGTGGCTGTTAGTGGTTTCTGAGCATATTTCCCTGACTCAGAAGAAAATGGGGAAGTGTGGCATGGAACAGCTTACCTCAGTGAGAGAAGAGGAGCCATGGGAACCTAACGCTCCAGTCATGACAGACTCTGACTCACTGTCTCGACAGAGGAAGAGGCGAATCTTATACTCTCTCTGAAGAGCGAGAGAGAGAGAGAAACGAGAACCCACGCATCTGTAGCTACTCCCTCGTCCTCCCACCGTCGTAAGACGAGCAGGATTGGGTTAAATGTTTACTGTGAATTGCCCATTAGAATGACTTTGAGTGTGAACGGTTGTTTGTCTCTCTACGTGGCCCTGTGATGGACTTCAGATCAACAGTTCTTAAAAGATTTTGATGCATTTTGACGCGACACATTTGCTGTGTATTGGTTGGCTACATAAAGCTATTGTTTCACCACATCACTAAAATGGAATTGTTGAACCTCTAATCATAACATGAACCATTTTCTAAGTAATTATTTAAAATAATACTTGAATAGTTTAACCACATTTTCCAAAAATCTCTGAGGGGGATTTTTAAAGTTGTGAAAGTCTGTTAGCATTAGACTCAACTCTACAGAGAGCACAAATGAATCAGTGTTCAATATGGGGATTTTTTTTTCCGGCAACACGTGCTGTCACACTCGTCTGGTCTTTTGTCCGTACGTGCAAACACCAGCTCCAGTTCACACTTCTTGCGGTGTTTGCACAGTGACAGTGACAAGTACGGTGGACGGCAGGTGGAAACTGGAAACAGGTGCTCTGGTTTGTTCCCGTCCATCACTCGGTGTGTTCACCTGCACATCTACAGTTCAGTCTCTCCACAGGTTGTCAAAGACAATTGTCCCAGTTAATGATCACACCGGGTTTTATAGCTAATGCAAATTCAAACAGTCATTTCAACTGTAGCCATATTTGAAGGTGTTAAAATACCAGGTGTTTTTGATTCCAGAATTAGTCTTGATATATACAGTATATGTTGTGCATTATAAATCAACCGAAAGCTCTGGATTAAACAGATTCTAAACTCCTTATTCAAACAGTGGTTGCTGAAAGTGGTGAGCACAGAGGCCACATAAAACCTGATCAGATTCCACAATCCCCTGATCAAACCTGACACATTGTCAATAACAAAGAAACCTCTTAATAAACATAAATTACTTTATTGAATGTAAAACCCATCAGGTACAATATACAAGAAATAAAAGTTAACACACAAGCAAAATGGTACAAATCGGAAATAACACATCGTCAGCACATTGCACTATAAAAACACTGCCGTAAAATATTCATAAAAGATAAGAATTCATCTTCGTATTGTCATTCTATAGGATTATGATCACATACAAGAGAACCACATCTTCATGGCGAAAAACTTGAAAGTAATTGGTCCCAGTTTTATCTTCAAACTGTTTGGTTCTAACTTCTAATAATACTGCAATAACTTATTCTTTTTTTAAAAAAAGAAGCCACAAATAGGTGAGGTAAGAAGGCACATTTTTGGTTTCAAAAACATCTAAAGCTGAAGACAGCAGGGACATGGTCCAGGCCCTTCCATGACGATGTCCAGACCTGATGTGATCATGACCTAGTTTTCCCAATGCACTGGACATGACACCATGGAATTTAATACGTTGAATAAAGTTATTGTTTGTGTTGCAGATGAGTAATTCTAAAGAGGTTGTAGTCACTGCACTGTTTTACTTTTGCCAGAGTTAACGGACTCTGAAAAACTGAGAGAAAGCAGAAAGTTCTTGGGAACAGCGACACAGTAATCCTGTTTTTTTTAATTAACACAAATATTTGTAACTTCCTTTCAGACTCGTGAGACTCATGTTGAACATAAAGTAATACTGAATCCTGCAGCGGGTGGATATAGGCTTGACACATTCCACACTCGTAAACAAAGGAAGAACTATTAATGAGGAAGACGTTTTTTTTTCTTCCATATTTGTGATCAAACACAAAGGATATAGACACATTAGTACGATGACTGTGTGGCTCTGAGACACTGGAATTACTGAAGGGACTTCACACAAAAAACAAAACAAATGGATTGCGACATTGCTGCCAGTGTGTCAGGCACCACGGGATCAAGTTTGTACAATTTCTGTTCATCATGTCTGAGGCTCAATTTTGTAACTCCTTGAAGTCCATATATATTTACAATAGAGGACAATCGACTATGGCTGAAGACAAAGGCTGAGTCACTGATTGTCCACATTAGCATTTACTTTTGTACTCGGTTTATTAGGCAGTGATTTACCTTCATTGAATAGCTATTGCATTCATTTAAAACCGTAGACTTTCAATGGGTTCAGTTACGCAACACATTAGCATTACATTCGATGTGAACACACCCGGACGACTAGTCTTGATTGTTGTCGTTTCCTGAATGCATTCCAATCCAAAGAAAAGTAAAATAGTACAAATCTAGACACTGACTATTTCTCTGAGTGACTACAATTTGAAGGCACATTCTCATTTCAATGATAAAATATGGCTTTGAATGGCAATAACACTGTAGTAACCTTGAGTGCATGTGCTTTGCGTCCTACGATAGTGTGGGACAACAAAAATAAAGCTTCTTTGGCGTAAAAACACACACACAGACAGACGTGGCGAAGGTACAGTCCTATATCTGAAACGTATCTGATCGTGGGTGTTAGGCATGTTTTCAAAACAGTCTTGAAGATACCGACGGGCCACAAACTCCTAACATGCCTTTTTAATGACATGGTTCCTCATTTTTCTGTTTCCTTAAGCAAACCAAGGGCAGTGGAAGTCACCTGCTATGAACTGGTGAAGGTCATGGCTTTAACACCTGTTAGCACCTCATCTATGTATGAGACAGTACTGGGGACAGTTGTGTTTGTGTTTGCTTTGGTGTGTGTGTGTGTTTGAGGCATACTGAGAGATTTAGTCCAGCCGCTCCCTTACCTCTCAACAGCTGTGTCTGGGTCTAAACACTAAATGGCCTGACACCGGCACAGAGACAGGATAAAGCACATCTTACCCTGATGTGTTCAGTATGTTTGGTCTTTGGCACAGGCAGAATCCAAGCCAGAGCAGAGAGCTCCTAAAGGGGTTGTCCAATGATCCGTTAGAGCTTTGGGTAAAAGCGTCCATATGTTGGTGAAGGCAAACTAATAACTATAGCTGACCCATACAATTTCAAACCAAAGGATTGGCACTGTGGGGCAGTACCACTGAAGGAAGACAAAGTAACTGCTCAACAGCTAGGTTTTTGGAAAATGGAAGAGGAAAAGTAAGAGTCTTGTAAAGTCACCTCCGCAGTCCTCGCCTGATCTCCTGAAGCAGGCCATTTCATGCTCTTTGCAGCCGTTTAGGTCGTATAGGTCATCAAACAGCTGGTCCAGTAAAGACCTCTTCTACTCCACCGCTAAGGACCCCAAACAGGTCCCTGTGTCTCTGTCTCAGACTGTGGGAGAGCAGCATCCTGAGGAGCTGTGCTTTTGCAGCAAAGACATGCGGCTGAAGGTGCGAGAGCAGATGCCACACTGATACTTTTTCACCTCAGCATGAGTCTGCAGGTGAGCCCGCAGGTTGGAGCGGTCAGCGAAGGCCCGGTTGCAGTGAGGGCAGGAAAAGGGACGCTCACCTAGACAGAGAAGAGTAAAGAAAAATTAATTTACAATTACAAAACATTTTTAAAGTTCTTCCAAGTTGCATTAAGATTTTACTTTTCCCTTCAATCCTAATGTAAAAGGCCAGTCGATTCATTTCTAGCTTTCTAGTTTGCACCAAAGTATAATCTTCACATGACTAATGAAGTCCTGAAAGTTTCTGGTACGTGGTAGTAGAAGTGCACCTTTCTTTACATTTAACTAACTAAACTCAGGGGAACACAACAATCCTTCCCACAATATTCGGCCCAGTTAAAAAAAGCCAAAAGGCGGCAACATGGCGTGTTTAAATGTCTTAAAGATGTTTGACCTCATTTAACCACACCAGACTTCTGAAGGTTCAGAACCTCTAGTTATCTTATCTCTGTGGTCTCAACACCTTCCTAGATCTCCAAATTTAAAATTTGTGGATCCTGAAAACCTATCATCAAGGAATTAATGTTGATGAATAATTAACCATCTTTCCAAAATATTTCCAGAACAGCATTCATTGGAGTGAGCCAGAGATATTTGTCTGCCCTACAGGAGGGCCAGGACACCAAGAGGATTAGCTTCAGTTTTAGCGTAGTCTTGGACTTCAGAAGTTGGCCACCGTGAGTTTGGTGTCCATTAAACAGTGTTTTGAGTAATCTAAGTTTCTCGATTTGACTTCTTTCAAACCCCTCAGGACTGTTATTATATAAATGACTAAGAACCACACAAATGACATAATTCATTGCTGCAAAATTGGCCAAGTGAAAATGCCTGTGTGGCCTTTCACTGGACCGGACTCCACCAGAACTTTTTTGATAAAAAACCCTTTCTGATGAGTCTTCACGTGACAACAGTCACACAGGAGCAATTCATTTACACTTCACACAGACAAATACACACTCTGTTGAGGAGATAATGAAGCAGCACATGACGAACTGGTGGTGTCGCAGTCTGATTGAATTAGAGCAAAATAAGATTAGCATGCTGACAAGTGGCTGCTTTATGCTACCCCTCGGCTCCTTTTGTCATTAATGCACCCCAGCTCTGCTGTTTGCCTTTGCAGCTCTGATAATTAGCTGACGAGCTATTGTTAGTGACACAATAAAAGCCCCACGTGTGATCAATGAGAGCAAAGTTTACAGAGAACTTCCCTCTGAGCGATCACGCCCTCTGATCAAGTGTGAGCCCATTACAACAGACACGCTGGTCGCACATTCACACGTCAAATGTTGAAGGCCAAGTCACGAATAAAGAGATTCAGGGACCTTGAATGATCAACATTACTAAGACATGGCTCCTTACATGCATCAACATTTAACCTGGTTGTTTTGATCAACTCTGCTAATCCTTCCCATTCACCTGATAATTCTATCAGTGGTCATAACAACAGAGTATCATTAAGTCAGGGACTTGACTAGAATGCATTTTAATTCTTCAAAAAATAAATAATAACATAAAATAATTCAATGTTTAGATGGAAATGGTGTCATCAGCTTCTTATTCCAGGATGGTTTAAAATGACCAAAGGTTCAATGGATCAGTAAGCAAATCAACAAAATATAATATTTTCATGTTTACACTAGTTATAGTTTTGGACTTAGTAGGAAGCAGAGCAGAAGTCTTTGGTGCGATTCGTTCCAGGGTGGCTAGCTTTGACAACATTGCCTTATTAGAGCAATGCACCCTCCATATTTTTAGAATTATAACAAAATTAGTTTTGATTTTAAGCTGTGGAAATGATGTTGAAATCTCACCTGTGTGTGTTCGGATGTGGCCACGCAGCAGCCACGGCCTGGAGAACGCCTTCCCACATGTGGTGCACACACAGGGCAGTGTGTGTGAGCGGATGTGCATCTTCAGAGCCCCCAAGCTGGTGTACTCTTTAGGGCAGTGTTTGCAGAGGAAGGCTGGCCTGGTTGACGATACTGACGATGATGATGACGCTGA